TTTAATTTAAATAATTTAAAAAATTATTTTGTAAAAAATTTTATACTTCATCTTTATTTTTTATTAAATATAAATATTCTATGTTATTCTATGTTTTCAAAATTATTAATGGAAATTAAAATTTTACGAAAATTTATATTTGCGCATATTATATTTCCAAATTTGTTTTATTATAGAAAAATATAATAATAAAAAGTAAATAAAAATTTGATTTTAACTATAATTTTTTACTATTTAAAATGAAAAGAATAATAAAAACTTACATCAATTTTATTATAGTCGATCAACATATGATATCGATCATTTTCTTTACATTATTTCCATATATTCACATTAGTATTGATAAAAAAACTATCGATAACATTTGAAACTATCGATAATTTCTGATTATAGAACGAGTTTAAACGAGATAAACTATCGATTGTTAAAAATTTGTGGTAATTATCGATAGTTTTTCACTATCGACTTAATTGTAACTGTACTAACCATGAAGTAAATAATTTTTACTTAAAAATGGCTGCGTTAAAGACGACTGTAAATCTGTCAAAAAAATTATTTGTGAGAAATATAACGCTTACATCTTTCATTAGAAAATATGATAAAATTGTTGATACACCATACGAAGAACTTTTACAAAATGAGTTGTGTAAGTAATGTATTTATGTGTAAAGAGGTTATTTCATTTTATACTTTGATAGAATAAATATATATCTTATATAAGAGTTATCCAAAATAATTAAGAAATGAATTTAATAAATTATTAATAATATTATATTTTTATGTATAATATAATTAATATTTTTTTATATTTTTTAGCTGTTTCTCAGAAAAAATATATGCCAGGCTTATATCCAAAAACAAAAGAAGAAATGATAGCAGCTGCAGAAAAATATGGTTTGCATCCTGATGAATATAAACCTTGTAATCCAGACACTAATTATGCAGGAGACTATCCAGATTTACCATTTATAAGTGTAGAGGCTAAAGATTCATTTTATCCTTGGGATATTCCTGCATTAAAAAGAAATTTTGAGGAACCAGTAAGTAAATATATTATGAAATAATATCTTATAGCTAATAAATAATATTCTCAAGTAATTCAATTATTTATATAATTATATACTATACGATATAATATATTATTTTGTATATAGTTTCATAAAGAATCAAATATGTTATTTGGAGATCGCTATGAATATGGTGTTCGTCAAATTGTTGATCCAAATAAGGCTATTGCAATTTTTTGTGCTATTATGGTTGCTTCTGCAATAATTTTTTACTTTTCATTTAATATAAGTCAACCTTTGGTAAGTAATTATATTTTTATGTAGGATATTATAACTTTATGTTTTTATTGAATATATAATGAATATATATTACATGTAATATATATATAATATATTGTTTTAGATGGAAAAACAATATCCAGGAAAAGGAATGCATTATACTTTTGAACTAAAATAATCAATTATAAATATAATAAGATATATATATAGTAAGATAATATATTTATATATGTTATATCATATGTACAATATTTGATATTGTATGTATTTCTTTAACAGAGCTTTTCTCTCTTTTTTTCTCTTTCTCTCCTTTCCTTTCCTTTTCTTTCAAGAAAAAATATGTAAATATAAAATTTTTCAAAAGATAAAAAAAAGAAGAATAATTCGTTACATTTTCTTTTCTTCATTTGTTATATATTTTATATATTTATATTAAATTTTATAGTAAATGAAATGGTGATAATGCAATTTCTTTTTTAAGCATTAAATTTAATTTATAAAAGTTTTCTGATTGGATTAAAAAATAGAATAATGAATTGAATAGGAGAATATTTAGTAAATAAAATAAAAGTTTTTAATTTATTTGAAAATATTCGTGAGGAAATATAATATATAAAAAATATATGTTTATAATTATGATTATAATAAATATATTTATAAAGCATTAAATATATTTTTTACATTACTTTATCAAATGTATAGTTTCATTATATATATATTATTAATAAAAAATTGGTAGCAGATTGAAATTAGAAGAAATAATTTGACATCAAACCATATGCATTTGTCATCATTTGCACTCGATTTTATCATTTAATCTTGTCTCACTCACATAATAGATTAATACCAGAAATTGCATTTTTGTTATATTTGCCAAAATTATATAGTGCAAATCACATTTCTGCTATCAATCTGTAATTACTTATTCAAACAAAACTTGAATATTTTTTACATGAATTAACTTTTTGCAAAATCTGTTATATTTCTGAAATCAGTTTTGTAATAAATCCAATTATAACAAATCCTATATCAAATGATAACTTTCTAACGATAAATTTTAATATCAGGATCTTTAGAAAAATTTGCTAACAGCAAATTTGATTGGTATTGTATATTATAATATATATAAACGAGATATAAAATAAAAAATGACATACAATGTCTTTTTTTTTGTATTTTTTGTAGAAATTCAAAAATTCTCTTATTATCCCTTATATATATTCTCTTTAATTCCCTCACTATTTTTTTTGTTACATGTTATCGATAGAAAATAATTAATGATAGTAGAACCAACATCAATATCAAATATAAATGTAGTATTAGAAAAATAATGTTAAGTATTTAAAATTTTGTTATCGATACTTTATTAAGTATTGATATTATATTTTGTATTTCGATATCGAATTATTTGAATATTATCAATAGTATTATATGGTATCGATCCGATCAATAATGAATAAAATCTGATTTTATTATACATCAAAACATTTAAAATAAACAAAATACAAGTCAATATTACAAAGTCTATATTTGTTTTGATCATTCTTGTACATGTATACTTTAGATGATTATTATGACAACAAACAATTGATTACTAAATAATATTTATTGGTAAAGTAATTCTTAATATAATCTATTAAATTTTTATTAATATTCTATATATTATTTTAGAATATTATAATATTATAAAATTAAGTAAAATTAAAATAATAATCTATAATTATTATTTTTCTAATTGATTTTTAAATGTTTTTATAAGATTTCAATATAATAACAATCTGCAATTAAAATATAATATACTTATTTTCTTAAGTAGTTGAAGTGAATAACGTATTGTGTTACTCCAACCAATCAAAAAGCTTCTAATGATACGAATCAATGCGCATCATAGTGCGCATAGCATTGGTTTACAGTTGAAAATCGTAGTGACAGGTCGCATTTCACCGTACATAATTATGTAAAATTTGTATCGATAAAGTATTGTATTACGATCATTAAGCTTAATTTATTAAACTTTTTTTTTAATTAATATGAATTTTTTTAATTATTATACCAGAATTGAAAGTGTAGATTTAATTGCTTTGAAAACAGGATGGTTTTGAAAGTGTGATAGTTCTTGAACATATCATTATAATTAAGATTATAATTAATTACTATAATAATCCGATTTTCATTCAGATATGGTAAGTTTTTTTATTTATTTTGACAAAAAACATAGTTACTATAAATTTGTTTATTTTTATGCTTATAAAGATTTAAATTAAAACAATATTAACACAATCAATTCATATACAAATATACACACGCACGCATTTCTTTCCTAAATGTGTATGTTCAATTTGTATGTTATTATTTCTGTATTTGTTTTGATTTTATATTCGAAAGCCAAAAACATTTCTTATAATATAATTTTTCCAGAAAATTATGATTTATAAAAGTCTTTCCAAAAAACAATTTGCATTGATGCTCGATACATTCTCACTTGTCGAATTATCCCTTTCCCAATTTGTAATTCAATATGTCGAAATAAGTACCTATTTGGAGTGTCATTCTGTTGCAAAAATTTGTGATAGTTAGAAGGTTTTTTTTTCTTTAGATGTGACATGGTGGTTATTTCATAATTTTTATTTTTTTAATATGCATTTGTTCAATTATTTATTGAATATTATTGTAATTGATAATTATTTTCATTTATGAAATTATTTATTTTCTTTTTTATTCGTCTATTTAATCAATAGAATTACTATTAATTCGTATTACGAATTTTTAAAATAAGATTTGAGCTAGATTATTGTTTTATTTTAATACGATCAATTTAATACATTCATACACTTTATACGTTTTTATTATTAGAAAATATATTGTGAAATGATTAAAATAAAAAATATATTTAATAAAGGAAATAGGAATAAATTATGTTATATAAATATGGATCATGCCGATGCTTTTGTTTTACATTGAGATCACTATATCGTATCTCACGGCGATTCAAAAAGGGAAAAGACAAAACAGAACTAAAACAGCGATTATGTCCAGTGACATCGAATTCGTATAATATACAAGATATGAATTGTATCTTTACATATTATTTACATATACACTTACATATAAATTCAACGATATAGATAAAATAGGATCAAAGAAAGTTTTTTGATAAGTTGGATTTATAAATCATATCATATCATTCAAAACAATATATTTCAAGGCAAGATGATCTATGAATTGCCTATCATCCCTAAATTTCCTCATTCTAAACAATCAAATTCTTAATAGTTATGTGATTTCATTTATTAGTCATTCTATATTATCATTTTCTATGTATTACATATGCTTTAAAAATTGTTTCTATGAAAAGATTTTCAAAGCAATAAGCAGGATTTATAAACGATTTAATTTTTCATATTATTAGAAATATGAAAAGAGTTTTTAGAATAGGTGAAATGTTTAAAATGTTTTAATGTATATTAAAGTTTATATTTATTTTCTTTATAGAGATTTCATTTTAGAATAAAAGATTTCATTATATAGAAAAATATTGATTATATAAAATATATGTAGGGACAATTAAATTATTGTGGATTCTCCCATAATATAAGGAAATACGTTTTTTAATTTTTAATAAGCACATTTTTTAATAAGCACGCTTCAACGATCATCGATCTTTGTACTAGATACATATACTTAGATATATAGATTAGATACATAAACAAGCTGCAATTTTGGTCATATCTATAGCCAAAATATTGCCATATGCCTCTCTGCAATTATCATTAAAAGAACTTTTAAGGTGTGAAAAAATAGATTTTGGACATTAAAAAAGTAATGTCTAACAAGATTTCTAATCTTGCGTATTTTCGTAATTCAAACATTCGGTTGTTGCCAATTACATTTTTCCAATATTTAGAACTAATTACATACATAAAGGATATTGTTTATTAAATATATAGATAAAGTAATATATTATAAATAAATAAATGGTTGATGAACAAAATAATATAAAATAATACTTTATAGGAAATTTATTTTGTTTATTTTCTTTTCTTTTTTTTTTTAACGTTAATTATCTTTTTTTATTATATATTTATTTATTATATATTTATAATAGAAATATAAAATAGAATTGATAAAATTTTTTTAGATTAATTTAAATTTTATTTTTAAATTTAATTTCGCTTTGGTT